TGTAGCCCCCATGAGTCACAACAAATAAGAATGTCTCCAGGCATTACCGCCTGCAGGGGATGGAGGGTGGATGACGGCCGCATGACGACAAAAGTTCAGAAACTTAGAAGAATTCTTTCCTACCCTTCTAAAAACTCATTGGTTTCTCTACTTTCACTCTTTCAGTCTTTTGAACAATTTTGCCTAATGAGTCTCCTTGAGAAGTGTGGTACGATGATTATAGATTTGACATTAAAACCCATGTCCTTAGCATTTATCTTCCAAGCGGGGACTCATGAATCATCTGCCGGTTAAACTATGACCAGGCCAGGCAGTTGGCATATGGTCCACATTGTGGAGCCATTGATTGATATTCTGCTTCTGATGTTTTCTTGTAGTGTGACCTTCCAAGAGCTACTTACCCTGTTACACTTTCCTTTCCACACCTAAGAAAATAATTTAAATATTCATCTCGGGTGTGAAATGAGAGTGTGAGAATCCTCCGTACTATCTGGCAGATTGTAAGAACATTGATTGTATACTAGCCATTATTTTTCAAAAGCCCTGAATGTTAACATTTTACTTGGCCACAGTACAGTTAGTATAATTAGCAGGAAATTAGTGTTGCTCTGGTACAGTAGTCTAATTTATAGATTGCGTTGTGTCCTACTGATGTGCCTTTTCTGATCAAGCATACACTTCAGAATAAACTTATCATGTTTAATTGCCATGTCTCCTGGTCTCCCCTTGGGGATTGTTCCTCAGTTTGTCTTTTGTCTTTCATGAACTGGATTTTTTTTTTAACACTATTTTTGAAGAATACTAGCCAGTTTTATAGGATTGCCGCCTGTGTGGATTTGTGTGATGCATCTTCATGATTAAACTTGGGATATGTGTATTTGGCGAAGGAATACCACGGAATGGATGTAGTATCCTCCTCGGTGCATCAGACCAGGAACCAGGAGGCACAGGAGATGACTTACTCCGTCTTGTTCTGATCATTGCTTAAAAATGGGTTTTTTCCTGTTGCTCCAAGATGTGAATGCAACATGCCGTCATGGAGGAGGGAACCAGTGGAGAGGTCTGAGGGGCCGGCCCCAATCCCAACTACGTGGGCACCTGCCCCTCCCCCCAGAATTCATTTCAGAAGACAGCACTGAAGCTGCACCTCTGGGAGAGGGGCATGTCTGATCAGAGCACCCGGGAGCCAATGAAGGGGA